TCTGCCCTCAGGAAGGGGGTCTGCTCTCAGGGTGTCTTCCTCTCACAGCCGAGCCCTGGGGGACACGAGGAAGGTGTGAACCCCATTTAATAGGCTGTCTCCTCCTCTCCTAGGATCCTTCAGCAAACCCAGGCTCTCAGCCCTGCCCAGCCCTGTCGTGACCTCAGGAGGGAATGTGACGCTCCAGTGTGGCTCAAGGGAGGTGTTTGACAGGTTCATTCTGACTAAGGAAGGAAAAGACATCTCCTGCTGGACCCTGGACTCACAGCCACAGCCCAATGGGCAGTCCCAGGCCCTGTTCCCTGTGGGTCCTGTGAGTCCCATTCACAGGTGGAGGTTCAGATGCTATGGTTCTTACAGGAACAGCCCCCAGGTGTGGTCATACCCCAGTGATGCCCTGGAGCTCCTGATTCCAGGTAAGTCCCATCCTGCTCCCATCCATGGATTGAGGCACCAGACACATTGGCATCTTCTCTGGGAGGGGAGCCCCATGTGAAGGGGTGCGGAGAGTGGAGCACAGGAGCCCCTGGGCCAGAGACACAGAGAGAGACAGTGAGACCTGGGGGCTAGGCCAGGAGAAGGGGTTATGGGAGGAGCAGCCCAAGTAATTCATGTCTGGTCTCCCCAGGTGAGTCTGGGAAGCCCTCCCTCCTGAGCCAGCAGGGCCCCATCGTGTTCTCTGAACAGAGACTGACCCTCCAGTGTCGCTCTGATGTCGGCTATGACAGATTCGCTCTGCACAAGGAGGGTGAACCGGACCTCTCCCAGAGCCTTGTCCTGCAGCCCCAGGATGGGCTCTCTCAGGTCCACTTCCCCCTGGGCACTGTGAGCAGCTCTCACGGGGGCCGGTACAGATGCTACGGTGGATACAACCTCTCCTCTGAGTGGTCGGCGCCCAGTGACCCCCTGGACATCCTGGTGGCAGGTGAGGAGCTAGTGGGTTCAGTCAGGGACCCTGACTCTGCACAGGCCCTGCTGGGGTCTCAGGTTGTGAGGCCAGAATGAAAGTGCAGGCCCCCAGGGAGGGAGAGAAACAGAGACAGAGACAGGGGGTGGAAGAAGAGAGAGGGGAAACTCAGAGAAACAGAGACAGACAGAGAGGAGGGTCCTCAGACAGAGGCCTGGTGACTCTCAGGTCACAACAAGGTGGTCAGGCAGCCCTCACCCTCCCTCCCTCTCTCTAGGACACCTGCCTGACAGACCCTCCCTCTCGGTGCAGCCCGGCCCCAGGGTGGCCTCAGGAGAGAATGTGACCCTGCTATGTCAGTCCCAAAGCTGGAGGGACACTATCTTTCTGTCCAAGGAAGGGGCAGCTGGTCCCCCCTTGCGTCTGGGATCAAAGTACCGAGGTCAGAATTACCAGGCGGAGTTCTCCGTGAGTCCTGTGACCTCAGCCCAAAGAGCGGGATACTCAGAGAAACAGAGACAGACAGAGAGAAAGGTCCTCAGACAGAGGCCTAGTGACTCTCAGGTCAGAACAAGGTGGGCAGGGAGCCCTCACCCTCCCTCCCTCTCTCTAGGACACCTGCCTGACAGACCCTCCCTCTCGGTGCAGCCCGGCCCCAGGGTGGCCTCAGGAGAGAATGTGACCCTGCTATGTCAGTCACAGAGCC